CTAGATTCAAATCAGATTAAGCATTAACCAGCAATAGCAGACACCCCCATAGATTTATGTTTTGACAGTGTATGAGGTTCAACTGAGTTGGAGCTTTCAAATCGGTGTGCAGCTTCTCTTGTGATTCGTCATGAAGCCACACCCATCCCACTCGTGTTAAAAAGGTACAATATGCAGAAATCACTCTGCCATTTCCTTGTTGCTAAAATTCTTAGTTCGCCTAAAGCCTAATTTTAGTTTATGTGACAAAACAAGCAAGTATAGTGTAGAGAATCATTGTACCATCTAAACTGCTGTGAAATATATTTTCCATAACCAAAAATATTATATTTTCAGCTGGTGTACAACACCCAAAAGTAAAATACGCAAAAACGAAACTTAAGAACGGGAAGCATAAAAATATTGCATATAGAACAGCTCTACTGCTTCTTAGACTTGCTTTCAATGAGAATGACAGATGACCAAATTCACAGAAATGCGAGTTGTGTCGCCCAAAAAGTTACATATTGCAGCTTTAAAAGTTCAGAACGATAAAGTCTATGTATAGAAATAATGATGCTCAAATTGAAAATCATTAAATGAAATAATGATGATTTCTATCAGCCTAATCAAGGTGTAAATTACAAATCACATTCCAGTGTTCGAACTTGTAAACAATGCTGCATGGGATTTGTCTTCATGTGACTCCCTTTCCATGCAGCCAATAGAGTACCACAGTATGAGTCATAATACCCATAAAACCTAGCGGTCAAGCAAGGAAATGGTTCCAATCATTTTTCAGTTTGGGAAAAATGATTGGAACCATTTCCCTGTTTGACCGCTAGGTTTTATGGGTATTATGACATCTCCACTGTGGGGCTCTATGGCAATGTCCACTTCAAGCATTTATTATAGTCCTAAACGTGTATGCATACGCACATCAGTGTTCTAGAATATTGGACCGTTGCCTTTCATACTTTTCGAATTCTCAGCGCAGCTCAAGCGATTTCTCCAACTGTCAACACATTCTAATGAATAGAGGACGCATACCGGGAGACGCGCGTTTGGGCTGTGCGTCCCCCGCAGATGGTGGTCTCAGAGCCATGTAGCTATGTTAGAATGGGACGTAGGACTATCGCGTCCTAGCGTCTGTGGACTATGATTTATGCATTGTCCGCTATAGATATACAGTGAGCTCCATAATTCATTGGACAGTGACCATTTTTTTTGTTATTTTGGTTCTGTACTCTAGCACTTTGAGTTTGAAAGGATACAATCTTTGTATTCATCTTTGTCTCATCTGTCCACAATACTTTTTTCCAGAACTCTTGGGGCTCTTTTAGGTGCTTTTTAGCAAACTGTAATCTCGCCTTTCTGTTCTTCAGGCTTATCAGTGGTTTGCATCTTGTAGTGTACCCTCTGTAGTCCTGCTGTTGTAGTCTTCTACGTATGGTAGACTTTGACACATCTACACCTGCATCCAGGAGAGTGTTTTTGATCTGTTGGGCTGTTGTCAGGGGTTTTTTCTTCACCATAGAGAGTATTCTCCGGTCATCCACTACAGTGGTCTTCCTCGGTCTACCGGGTCTTTTGACATAATTGAGTTCACCGTTTTTTTTCTTCTTCTTGTTAATGATGAACCAAACTGTTGACTTGGGCATGGCCAGGGTTTTTGCAATGTTCCTGATTGATTTTCATTTCATTTACATTTTACATTTACGTCATTTAGCAGACGCTCTTATCCAGAGCGACTTACAAATAGGTACATTCACCTTATAGCCAGTGGGATAACCACTTTACAATGTTTGTTTTTTTTGGGGGGGGGGGGAACCGCAACAACCTCCAAAGGCAATAGCAAAGTCTAGAATCAATACTATTCATCAACAGCTCTCCTGCATTCACTAACGACACAAATGAATACACCTGCCTAACGACACACGTCTGTGAAGCCAATTTAACAAATACTTGTAGTACCTTAAAATGGGGGGACCATGTACAAAAGGTGCTGTCATTTCTAAACGGTTAATCCGATATGTATGAAAATACCCTCAAATTAAAGCTGACAGTCTGCACTTCACCCTCATTGTATCCTTTCAACCTCAAAGTGCTAGAGTACAGAACCAAAATAATGGTCACTGTCCAATGAATTATGGAGCTCACTGTATGTTGCGTTCAAAACAACTTGGAACACGGAAATCTCCGACTTCCGAGCGTTCGAAGACAACTAGGAACTCAGAATAGTTTTTTGCTCTGACTGGGAAAAATAGTTTTGAACGGTTATCCAACTCGGAATTTCAAGTCGGGACACTCGGGCCCCTTTCTAGAGCTCTGACTTTCCGACCTGAAGATCACTGACATCCAGTGGTGTAAAGTAACTAAATAAAAAAATACTTTGAAGTTCTACTTAAGTCGTTTTTTTGGGTATCTGTACTTTACTATTTATTTTGTTTCAATCTTTTAATTTTACTCCATTCCTAAAGAAAATATGTACTTTTGTTTTTACTCCCATACATTTTCCCGTACACCCAAAAGTAGCCTACTCTGTACATTGAGAATGCTCATGCTGGACAGCAACATGCACTAATTCAAGAACCGATCAATATATCACATTGTCATCCCTACTGCCTCTGATCTGGCGAAATCACTAAATACAAATACTGAGTTTGTAAATTATGAGTCCTGGCTGTCCATAAATTTTAAAAAAAACAAGAAAATTGTGCCATCGGGTTTGCTTAATATAAAGAATTTGATGTATAGCTTTTACTTTTTACTTCTACTCAAGTATGACTATTGAGTACCTTTTCAACCACTGTACATCAGTACATTTAAAACCAGATACTTTTAGTATTTTACTGGGTGATTTTCACTTTTACTTGAGTCATTTCCTATTACATTTACATTACATTTTAGTCATTTAGCAGACGCTCTTATCCAGAGCGACTTACAGTTAGTGAATACATATTTTTTTATACTGGCCCCCCGTGGGAATCGAACCCACAACCCTGGCGTTGCAAACGCCATGCTCTATCAACTGAGCTACATCCCTGCCGGCCATTCCCTCCCCTACCCTGGACGACGCTGGGCCAATTGTGCGCCACCCATGAGTCTCCCGGTCGCGGCCGGCTGCGACAGAGCCTGGATTCGAACCAGGATCTCTAGTGGCACAGTTAGCACTGCAATGCAGTGCCTTAGACCACTGCGCCACTCAGGTATCTTAACTTTTACTCAAGTATGACAATTGAACACTTTTTCCACCACTGCTGACGTCATGATTTGACCTCGTATTTTTCAGAGTTCCCATGCTGCATTAAAAAAAACTGGGAACTTGGAAAAATACAAGGTCAAATCATGACTTCAGTTATCTTTAGGTCGAAAAGTCAGAGCTCTAGAAATAGGCCCTAGTTCCCGAGTTGGAATTCCGAGCTGGATGACCGTTGATTTTTCCCCAGTCGGAGCTTGTTTTTTTACGAGTTCCGAGTTGTTTTGAATGCACTGAAGTCGGAAGTTGGAGATTTCCGACTTCCCAGATCCGAATTCCCAGTTGTTTTGAACGCGGCACAAGTTGTATTGAAAATCACCAATAATGCTGGGAGCAGCTTGCGGATTTGACAGCTCATGCAGTTCAACCTAGTCTGGCTGACACGCAACTACACAGCAAGCTGTGACTCAAGTCAGGAACTTCGAGAGCTGGGGGGGGGGGGGGGGGGTATTCTACAAAGTAGGATCAATGAGTTAGCCAGCTAACTTGCCTAAATATTCTGATGTAACTTTTTTTTTTTTTTTTTAAGATAAGCTTGAAATGGGCATGGTCTAATTGATTCAACAAACAAAAACATATCTAAGATTAGCTCTTTTAATGAACCAGAAAAATCAATAGTTATTTCTGGTTGCAGATTCTGCGATAGAAATGTAAGGGTCATTTCCGATTGAGCCGACGTGTAGCATTTACCGTGAATGCAGTCTCCGCTAAAGCAGGAACATTACCTTTACATTTCAATCACACTGTAAAGTTGAACTTCTGTGATACGGATTGAATAGAGACCCAAGTTCCACCTCCAACACCACAAAAACAACAGCTATGCGGGTTAATAGATAGTCAAATGAGAAGGAAAAACCAGCTCAAAAGGAAGCCTGTTCTACAGGTTCAATATATTAATGTATAAGGCAAACGATAAAACCCCCATTCCCATAAAATATCACTTTAAGGCATAATTGTTTTTTAAGAGATGGGGGGGAGAAACAAAGCATTTTGAATCATGTGCTATGTAGGTAGCCCATAAGAATTTTCTCAAGCTTTCCTTTCCCCGTCATCTTTTGCCGGATTTGAACGTCAACACACAGATCACCAGAAACATTCAACTTTCAAGGCTTGAGTCCCTCATACAGGGCCTACAGTTCTGTCAAGGTGCATTTAAAAGACCCTAATTTACAGCAACTTGGAATAGTACAGTACCTGCTACTAGTTTCATCTGATTGTCAACTACCACAGTACCTCTGGCTACAATATAAGGCTATGACTTTTCATTTAATATGGAAGCAGTAACCTTAAATAATTTTACCAACCACAGGGTTGCCCATGCAGCTCTTTGGGGCTATTAGTGTCTCTTTATGTTGCATAACATAAACAGTCACTGTAGCCATCTTTACAGAGACTAAAAACTATCCCACACGGTGGCCCTCTAGTTGTGCATAAATGAATTAAGATACAGTACCTCATCATACCATATTGCCTAGTTGGTATGCCCTGGCAGTCTTTGGTGATTATTGCGGTTATTAGTTGCATAGATGCAAAGCTAAGTCTGCATCTACCTCGTCTATTTCTGCACTAAGAAAACTGAGCTGAACTAATCTGATTGTCATGAGACAGTTGGAATACAAGGTCAACAGAAGAAGGTTTAGTAGTCAGCAGTAAAGTAACCATAGCTACACAGTTTGGTTGGTTGTCAGCAGTAACGGTAGTCATAGCTATTGTAACACAGTTTAGATATCAGCAGTAACGTTGTCATGGTAACAGCGGCCTGTCACTCATCGCTGAAGCGCAGTCTCTGGAAGGCCTCTTTGATGTCCTCGTTAGTGTCTTTGCTGCTTATGGAGCCCATGCGGAGGACCTGGCTGTCGGTGACGTCCTGTTTCAGTTTGCGCTTGCTGAGGACCACCGTCCCCTCCGTCCCCTCCCCCTGGGGCCCCGTCAGCAGGATGTAGCAGGCGTGGCGCCCCCGCTCCAACAGGGTGGCTAGGACAGGCAGGAAACACATGGACAACAAGTGGTTTAGGGTTTCGAGAACGGTCATTATCCTCAAGTGCAGTAGACTAGGGCTGGGGCTGAAAACGTTACTAGCTGTCAAATCCCTGCATCCTCCCGTCCTTTTTTTCCTCACCTCCCTCTCAAAGCGGATTGGAGGAGAGGATCCAAGGTCCCTCCCAAATGTCAGCCATTTGCCAAGCTGATCTGAGGCCTTTGATCCTCACCCAGGAGAGTCATGACATAACATTTTCAGACAGCCTAGATATTGAGACGGTTCATTGGTCACCCATTATGATATTGTTTTGCTCAATCATGTAGCTCACCTTTAAATGCGATAATGTGGTCCATGACGTTGCTCTTCTCCAGGAGAACTGTGGAGTAGTGGGGATACAGCATGTAGGAGCGCCGCTCCTCACTCAAATCGCTCTGGAGGAAAGCATTCATTTAGAAACAGGTCAGCATGTCTAGAGAACACCAATATGACAGATGTGAATGTGATCGACCTGGGTTCGAACCCGGGTATGCTGCATGCCACAAGCATGTGCTAGCCCACTGAGCTAAATCCTAGGCATTAACTCGGGAAGCTAACACAAGCCTTCAGATTCTCAGGCAAGGTTATACGAACACAGTGTAAGATGTAACGAGATGAAGATCAGTGAATGATCTGTTCTCATAAAGTCACTGCACTCACTGTGGAGTTGGCCTCTGACGGCATCAGCCCCCAGAACATGAACACAGAGAAGGAGTTGATGGTGTTGACTGAGGCTGGCTTAGGTGAGTTGGGGCTTGCCAGTAGGTTGACCTCCCACAGTGTGCCTCCAGTGTTTCCGTCCAGGATCACCACCTGCAATACACACAGACCAGGGATGGATGTCGCATTCAATGCAAATGCAGCAGGAGTGGAAAAACAAAAGGCATGAAATACCCAGCAGGTAAGTTGGGTCTCGTCTTTTGCTTCCAAGCTGGTCCCAACGTACCCTTTTAATGTGGTTGCCAATGTCCTCCTCGATCACTATGTCGAGTGTGCCATCTTTGTTGAAGTGGCCAAAGGAAGGCTCGCTGAGGGGAGAGGAGAAACGTATTTAAAACCCTCCCATTCAGTACACGACATTGGTCCAAATACCTTGGTTATCATAGTTGTCGTCACACACACACTACACAGGAATTCAGAGCGTGGCAATTTACTACAAATGTTAAGGAATACGAGGAGGTTGTTAGTCAATACTGTGTATTGAGTAAGCTCCATGACAATGTTAACTAACTAATCAGTGTGTAGGGTGATGTCGTTTTCCACCTGAGGACTGTGCTGGTGTTGACTCTCCACAGTGAGCTCAGACTGTCGCCATCTATCAGCTCCACACTGCCCCCAGTGACCAGTAGCAGGTTGGAGGGACCCTCTGCCTTCCCTGTCCTCAACACGTGTCTCAATGACCCAGACCTGCAGGGGAGGAACGGCCGTCAAAGGAAAGCCTCCATGTTAGCATTAGCAATTCATTTCAGTCTATGGTCCAGGTTATTAGAAATAAGACAAGAGAAATGATCATTTAACCAGTAGACGTTTGGTATATTGGTGTTATGTTTTGCTCCCAAGCTGTGACATTGAGGCATTGTGTGAATTGTGTATTAGCATCTAGCTGCTGCTCCATCTTACTCATATATTGATACAAGGCCAGAGGAGTCATTGGCTTTGCTCTCCCAGTGCTTGTCCTTCTTCAGGCCTTTCTCCATGCCTGCCTTAGCCTGGGCTGCAATCCTCCACAGGGCCAGGCCATACAACCCTGAGTCTGGGGAGAGGGGACAAAGGAAAGTGACAACAGTCATATATTATTACACTAACATCAATATGTTGTGGGCTGTAGCCAACAGGCCATATAGGACCCTTAAATCAATATACTGGTATAGCTCACTGATCATTGGACAAGGTCGCATACAGTAGGACCGGAATCAATGTGGTCTACCACATAGAATGGTATGAGATCAATCGTTTGGTCAGTGAGTTATTGGCTTTTTAACGATACACTAACAGCAGATCAGTAAATGAGCTCACTCGCAGGCTTTGGCAAATGGCTTGCTCACCTTTCTGGAGCAGTACATAGTTGGAGCCTTTCCCTGTGGAGTGGAGGAGATGCATGGCACACTCAGCTGTGTCCAGAACCACCTCTGAGCCAATCTGGACACCCGTCTTTCCTGAGAGGATCGCCAGCTGTGTCTAGAGAGCAGAGAATAACAACAGAACAAACTGACTTGAGGTCTTCTGTTGAAGACATTTGGCCTGTCACCTAAAACCCTCACAAACTTTTACAGATGCACAATTGAGAGCATCCTGTCGGGCTGTATCAACGCCTGGTACGGCAACTGCACCGCCCACAACCGCAGGGCTCTCCAGAGGGTGGTGCGGTCTGCCTCCAGGACAACTACAGCACCCGATGTCACAGGAAGGCCAAAAAGATAATCAAGGACAACTACCACCCGAGCCACTGCCTGTTCACCCCGCTATCATCCAGAGGGTGAGGTCAGTACAGGTGCATCAAAGCTGGGACCGAGAGACTGAAAAACTGCTTCTATCTCAAGGCCATCAGACTGTTAAATAGCCATCACTAGCACAGAGAGGCTGCTGCCTACATACAGACTTGAAAATCACTGGCCACTTTAATATATGGAACACTAGTCACTTTAATAATGTTTACATATCTTGCATTACCCATCTCATATGTATATACTGTATTCTATACTATGTATTGCATCTTAGCCTATGCCGTTCTGACAATGACATTGCTCATCCATATATTTATATATTCTTATTCCATTCCTTTACTTAGATTTGTGTATTAGATAATTGTTGTGGAACTGTTCGATATTACTTGCTAGATATTACTGCACTGTCGGAACTAGAAGCACAAGCATTTCGCTACACTCGCAATAACATCTGCTAACCATGTGTATGTGACCAATACATTTGATTTGAAGGTACTGGCACAGAGGTTGCCATTTCATGTGTAAAGCGCACATTTTGTCATACATTATTGTCCTGTGTTTTAAAGCAGAAATATAAAACGTAAACAGTGAAAATCCTATAATATTGCATAATCTAGTCTGAGCGGGTGTCATAAGGCACACAGCTGGTGAGTGTGACTAAACTGAGACGTCGAGGACGCCCTTGAGGTTTACCTGCGTTGGGCTGGGGGCCACCAGAGCCACGTCGCTGACCCCGTCCCCATCCAGGTCTGAGACACTGAGGACCGGTAAGGTGCTGCTCAGGTTGTGAGGCTGGGGCCGCGCCCACGTCACCACTCCTGTACAGACATACCAGGTATTCAGAATGCACTCACAGCTACAAACCCCCTCCAACAGAAATCATGACAAAGTTTTCATCGAAGTGAGTCTGGTTACAAAATAGTGATGAGACACAGACCAAACTATCATGCATTAGTGGGATATGAAGGCACGTATTTGCGCTTTACGAAACACATGAGGAGAGACAATATGAATGCTTGAAGCGTGATGTTCAACCACCATTGTGGTGGAAAAGGTGTGAAAACATGACTACACGTTCTGGCTCAGGTGGTTTGTGAGATAGTAGAGAGAGATGCGAGTAAATGAGTGAGTCACTCACCAGTGTATTTGTCGATGGCAGTGAGCTGGTTGGAGTGGGACAGCAGGCAGCCCCTGTCGGTCTCTCCCAGGCCATCTAGACCACACTGGGCCCAGTGGAACTCAGGGGCCAAGGGCCGCTCCCACAGAGTCTCCCCGTTGGTCCCTGCTACCGCCGACACAAACACACAAGGTGTGTCCAGACCTGGAAGTCATACAGCACACCTGAATCTCACAGACACTGCCAAGCTACATATTTTACAAGACACAGCAGATAATATATTGGGTAGAACAATTACAATAGGTTCATTACAATAGGAATTAGGAAACAGTATCTCTGTATTGAGGGGACTTTAGCTTGTCTTCTGGGAATCTTTGGCTGGCAGCCTCTACTTTTACTGGAATCTCAGTGAAACCATTCTACAAAAGCAGCTACATACTCTTCATTATTGTGCTTAAAAGGCCCAATGCAGCAGTTTTTATATCAATATCAAATTATTTCTAAGTACCAATTAAGTACCTACAGTGCATTCGGAAAGTATTCAGACCCCTTCCCTTTTTCCACATTGTTACGTTACAGCCTTATTCTAAAAATGGAATGAATACATTTTTTTTCCTCATCAATCTCCACACAATACCCCATAATGACAAAGCGAAAACAGGTTTTTAGAATGTTTGCCAATGTATAAAAAATAAAAAAACAGAAATACCTTATTTACATAAATATTCAGACCCTTTGCTATGAGACTCGAAATTGAGCTCAGGTGCATCCTGTTTCCATTGACCATCCTTGAGATGTTTCTACAATTTGATTAGAGTTCACCTGTGGTAAATTAAATTGATTGGACATGATTTGGAAAGGCACACACCTGTTTATATAAGGTCCCACAGTTGACAGTGCGTGTCAGAGAAAAAAACCAAGCCATGAGGTCGAAGGAATTGTTCGTAGAGCTCCGAGACAGGATTGTGTCGAGCCACAGACCTGGGGAAGGGTACCAAAAAATGTCTGCAGCATTGAAGGTCCCCAAGAACACAGTGGCCTCCATCATTCTTAAATGGAAGAAGTTTGGAACCACCAAGACTCTTCCTAGAGCCGCCCAGCCAAACTGAGCAATCGGGGAAGAAGGGCCATGGTCAGGGAGGTGACCAAGAACCCGATGGTCATTCTGACAGAGCTCCAGAGTTCCTCTGTGGAGATGGGAAAACTTTCCAGAACGACAACCATCTCTGCAGCACTCCACCAAATCAGGCCTTTATGGTAGAGTGGCCAGACGGAAGCCACTCCTCAGTAAAAAAGGCACCTAAAGGACTTTCAGACCATGAGAAACAAGATTCTCTGGTCTGATGAAACCAAGATTGAACTCTTTGGCCTGAATGCCAAGCGTCACGTCTGGAGGAAACCTGGCACCATCCCTACGGTGAAGCATGGTGATGGCAGCATCATGCTGTGGTCCTCTGTAGCTCAATTGGTAGAGCATGGCGCTTGTAACGCCAGGGTAGTGGGTTTGATCCCTGGGACCACCCATACGTAAAAATGTATGCACTCATGACCTAAGTCGCTTTGGATAAAAGCGTCTGCTAAATGGCATATTATTATTATTATTATTATTATTATTATTATGTTTTTCAGTGGCAGGGACTGGGAGACTAGTCAGGATCGAGGGAAAGATGAACGGAGCAAAGTACAGAGAGATCCTTGATGAAAACCTGCTCCAGAGCGCTCAGGACCTCAGACTGGGGCGAAGGTTCACCTTCCAACAGGACAATGACCCTAAGCACACAGCCAAGACAACGCAGGAGTGGCTTCGGGACAAGTCTCTGAACGTCCTTGAGTGGCCCAGTCAGAGTCCGGACTTGAACCCGATCGAACATCTCTAGAGAGACCTGAAAATAGCTGTGCAGCAACGCTCCCCATCCAACCTGACAGCACTTCAGAGGATCTGCAGCGAAGAATGGGAGAAACTCCCCAAATACAGGTGTGCCAAGCTTGTAGCATCATACCCAAGAAGACTCAAGGCTGTAATCGCTGCCAAAGGTGCTTCAACAAAGTACTGAGTAAAGGGTCTGAATACTTACAGTACCAGTCAAAAGGTTTGGACACATCTACTCATTCCAGGGTTTTTCTTTATTTTTACTATTTTCTACATTGTAGAATAGTGAAGACACTATGAAATAACACATATGGAATCATGTAGTAACCAAAAAAGTATCAAACAAATCAAATCAGATTCTTCAAAGTAGCCACCCTTTGCCTTGATGAAAGCTTTGCACACTCTTGGCATTCTCTCAACCAGCTTCATGAGGTAGTCACCTGGAATGCATTTCAATTAACAGGTGTGCCTTGTTAAAAGTTCATTTGTGGAATTTCTTTCCTTCTTAATGCGTTTGAGCAAATCAGTTGCGTTGTGAGAAGGTAGGGTTGGTATACAGAAGATAGCCCTATTTGGTAAAAGACCAAGTCCATATTATGGCAAGAACATCTCAAATAAGCAAAGAGAAACGACAGTCCATCATTACTTTAAGACATGAAGGTCAGTCAATACGGAACATTTCAAGAACTTTTAAAGTTTCTTCAAGTGCAGTCGCAAAAACCATCAAGCGCTATGATGAAACTGGCTCTCATGAGGACTGCAACAGGAAAGGAAGACCCAGAGTTACCTCTGCTGCAGAGGATAAGTTCATTAGTTACCAGCCTAAGAAATTGCAGCCCAAATAACAGACACATCTCAACATCAACTGTTCAGAGGAGACTGCGTGAATCAGGCCTTCATGGTCGAATTGCTGCAAAGAAATTACTACTAAAGGACACCAATAAGAAGAAGAGACGTGCTTGTGCCAAGAAACACGAGCAATGGACATTAGACCTGTCCTTTGGTCTGATGAGTCCAAATTGAAGATTTTTGGTTCCAACCGCTGTGTCTTTGTGAGACGCAGAATAGGTGAACGAATGATCGCATGTGTGGTTCTCACTGTGAAGCATGGAGGAGGTGGTGTGATGGTGTAAGGGTGCTTTGCTGGTGACACTGTCTGTGATGTATTTAGAATTCAAGGCACACTTAACCAGCATGGCTACCACAGTATTCTGCTACGATACACCATCCCATCTGGTTTGCCCTTAGTGGGACTCATTTGTTTTTCAACAGGACAATGACCCAACACACCTCCAGGCTGTGTAAGGGCTGTTTGACCAAGAAGGAGAGTGATGGAGTGCTGCATCAGATGACCTGGCCTCCACAATCACCCGACCTCAACCCAAATGAGATGGTTTGGGATGAGTTGGACCGCAGAGTGAAGGAAAAGCAGTCAACAAGTGCTAAGCATATGTGGGAACTCCTTCAAGACTGTTGGAAAAGTATTCCAGGTGAAGCTGGTTAAGATAATGCCAAAAGTGTGCAAAGCTGTCATCAAGGCAAAGGGTGGCTACTTTGAAGAATCTCAAATATATTTTGATTTGTTTAACACTTTTTTGGTTACTACATGATTCCACATGTGTTAAATCATAGTTTTGATGTCTTCACTATTATTCTAAAAAATAAATTAAGAGAAACCCTTCAATGAGTAGGTGTGTCCAAACTTTTGACTGGTACTGTATGTAAAATTTCTGTTTTTATTTGTAATAAATGTGCAAAAAATTTCTAAACCTGTTTTTGCTTTGTCATTACATTTACATTTTAGTCATTTAGCAGGCATTTCAGTCATTATGGGGTATTGTGTGTAGATCGATGAGGGAAAAAAACATTTGAATCAATTTTAGAATACGGCTGATGTAACAAAATGTGGAAAAAGTAAAGGGGTCTGAATACTTTCCGAATGCACTTTAACAGATTTCCATTAAAATGTGCAAAAATAGCTTTTTAACAAAAAACCTTCTCAAGCAAGAATTTTGATAGGACTGTCTGGGAGTGGTCAGAATGGGGAGGGGAAAACTGAAAACTAGCTGTTATTGGCAGAGAGGTTTGGAACGCTCTTTGTTATTGGTCTATTAAGCAACGTACTGCATGGTGATGTCACCATGGAAAGCTGAAACTCCCGCCCATGCAAACCTGCTGATTAGAAGGTCCTGTGTCGATTGTATTTCCAACCAGCAGTTATCAGGAAACAACAAAAAAAATTCACACTTTTACAGTGTTAGTTTCAACAGCTGTCTACAATATGACAGTTAAACACAGGAAAAACATAATTTTGACTGCACTGGGCCTTTAGCAAGACAAAGTATGAAGCATTTGCTGTAAGACCTGTATTCCTAGTACCTTCAGCAAAACAGCTAACGTTCTGACTGCCCTCTGAGTCCTTCAGGACAAACAGCACGTCCATCACTTTGTCTTTGCTTGCATCCTCTATGGCCAGGAAATCATAGGTGGCTGTGAGAGAAAGGAAAGGAAGTAAGTTTAACCTTTTGGGTAAAGAAACAAACAGTACATCTACGGCTGGTTTCCCAGGCAGTTAAAGCCTGATCCTGTACTAAATGCTATTTCCATGGAGATTGAGACTTTTTCATCCAGCCCATAGTGCAAAACAACAGAGGGGTTAAATAACTTATTAATTGGCCTTCTCTGGTCTATTGTGTTACTGTATCTCTTCCACACCTGCTTGGGGGAAGGTGCGGTTCCAGAAGGTGAGGTATTGCGGCCGGACGGGACAGGGGATGATGAAAGAGAAGGCGAAGACGATGATGAGGCAGAGGAAGAGGGAGAGGAAGAAGGCAGCCGTCCTCCAGTGGGACAACTTGGCCAGACCCAAACTCTTCTTCTTCTTGGTCTGCGCTGGTGGTGCCACTTCCCCAACCTCAACCCCATCCTCCCTCTTCAGAGGGTCAGCTTCTGTGGCATGGTCTGTTGGCTCCATTATCTCCTCAACAATGTGTCATAGCCCGAACAGACCTAAACACATAGAAAATGTGGTGGAAAGGACACAAACATGTACCGCCCCCAGCATTGACACAGTACCAAAGGTATTTCTGTCTGCCTGTGGGACTCCAGCCATTTCCACACCCGCCATCTCACTACAAACATTTTCAAGTTTGCCTCCAGAAATTGCTGAACAAAACAATAACATGCTTATCCCATGACCTTAGCTAGCTACCATGTAACAGCATGCAGATTATATCCTGAGGTACAATTTCAGTGTTTCATTCTAACTATTCACCCTGACTCCGAGTCCGTATGGGTTGTGGATTCACCACTTCCATAAACTAAGAACTAACTAATCTCTCATGAACATATTCTCGTGGACAGATGAAACAGTAAATGACAAACTTTCGCGAGAGAATTTTACTTCCGAGTAACCTAGATCAAGAATTAGCTAACTTTAACGTTATTTGGCTACGGTAATAATGCATAACATGTCAATTTAGCGAGTTAATTTCATTGAAAGCCTATGGGTCAAGATACCAAAACTCCTAGCTAGCCAACTTAGCTTACTAGCTAGCTAACAGTTAACGTTAGCATAGCTAGCCTAGTAGCTAGAAAACGCGTTACAGGCTCAAAACTTATTCGTTGCCATTCTCTCAGACAATACTAGTTAGCTAGCTATCTAGATAGTGTCACCATTCACTTTCCAGACCTTAAATAAATGTATTATTTTTTTCAAGTAGTTGAATTATTTTATCTTACTTTAGAAGCTACTTCTGTCCGTGTCTTTGTTTAATCGAGAACTGTCAATCCAACTTCAACTGCGTAAACAATTCACACCTTTGACAGGACCTACTAGCTATCGTGAAATGGTCACCGCAATATGGAATCATTGGGACGTCCCAACCTTAACCATAAACCTTACCTTAACGTTAAAATTAACGTCCCAAGGATACCAGATAGCACAGACCATCGTGAAATGAGCTAATTTGAGTTCAAGTGGCTGTGATTGGTTAGTTACCAAGCCACTCCAATTGGCCAATTCTAGCATAGAGGAAGTGTCGTAATTTCCTTAACTGAGAAAGCAGGGGCTGGCGAGATCGTTGAAGAAGCCTGTCCAAAGAATAAACATATTGCATTAATAATATAGGATACTCGTCTGTTTTGTGTTAAGCTTTGAAGAATTAACCCACAACAATGTCGGCCCAAGCTCAAATGAGAGCTTTGCTCGATCAACTAATGGGGACAGCGAGGGATGGTGAGTAGCAAAACGGCGGCGGCGGCGGCTAGCTTGTTAGCTAAAAGATGGAGCTAGTCAGAGATACTTTTCTAAGGCTGCGTTTACACAGGCAGGCCAATTCTGATATTTTTTCCACTAATTCGTCTTTTTACAATCACATCAGATCTTTTCACATCAGATCGTTTTCAGAGCTGATCTGATTGGTAAAAAGACCAATTAGTGGGAAAAAACAGAATTTGTCTGCCTGTCTAAACGGAGCCTAATATGTCTGAGCCAGTGGCTTGCACTTAGCCTACTAGCTAGCTAGTTGGCTATCTAGCTAACTAGTTTTATGGCGTGTTTCAGTTGGACATACCTTGAATGAATGGCGTACAAGAGGACACCTGTGTAACATAAAGCAGCTCAATAATGATTTGGCCCCGGCCTAGTTGTTGTTTCGCGATTTAATGTTTGTATCCATAGCTAATGACGTCCACTCCGGCATTCATTGTTGATAGACCAGCTGGCTAGATCAGTAATGATCAACTAGACGCCCCCCTGGGGGACCCTGAGTTTTCAAGTGGTCCCTGAAAAAGCGGGGATAAAACTCATGGTAAAGCTAATCAATTTCAATCGGATGTATTTTTACTACACACATTCACGTTCTTATGTTGTTCAGTGAGGTACATGGCTAGCCAGTGTTGGGGTCAATTCCATTTAAATTCAGGAAGTACACTGCAATTCCATTCCAATTCTCTTAAATGCTTTTCAATTAGAAACATTTTGAATTATAATTTGGTTTACTTTCTGAATTGACTGGAATTGAAACTGAATTGACCCCAACCCTGAAGTTAATTATATTTAGCAAGGCCTACATACAGTATTTAGGATAACAAAGCTAGCCTACCTTGTAAATACTAAATAGTCAGTAAGGATATCTGGAGAGTCTGCAAGTCATTGACAGGAGGTTAAAACAGTTAGTCATACAGTGCACAGTATCTAGTATTGTGTAGCATTTGTACAAGCACCATTTCCATAGTAAATGACGTATCTAGCTACAAGGATACTAGCCCTACGAAGCTTGCCTTCACATATACAGTAAGTACAGTTATTTTAACAGTAGCCCTCTGTCTTAGGGCATTCTATAGCAACAGCTTGCGAGATATGCACCCGACCTGTTGCTGTACCTGTATTTAGCAGCTCGTGTCCCGTGTTGGACAGTATCCGTAATTGGTATACGGTTCTGATGGAAACATCGTCGTTTGCATCACCGAGCAGTGCCCAAGAAAGTATTAAATCCAATTGTTTGATGCTACCCCCTCCAATCTAATTCAAAGATGGATTCACTCTCTTGCTTCTAGACAGGTAAACAGACTGTCTGCAATCATACCACTTCCTGTCACGAGCACTAGCCCAACAAAATGGTCACGGTGCTGCCAACCTCTGCAGCGGCTGTGATACCCATTAATGTTGCTGGCCGTGTTCGAGAGCGTCAACCTTGATGTATCATGGGTAAATTGTGACCGACGGACTGATCTACAAATAATAATGAGTCGTTATTTATGATGCAAGGTGATTTGTAGGTCAGTCGGCAGTCGCTTGCACTGTCGGCTGCAATGTCGAACAAGACCGTTTTGTTGATCTATGTGGGTGGCTGCACCGTGCCCATTTTGTTGTGCTAGTGCTCGTGACAGGAAGTGTTATTATTACAGACAGTCTGTATTTACCTGTCTAGAGGTGAGGGTGTGCCATGCAAGTGCACCGCTCAGGAATCCATCTTTGAATTAGTTTGGCGGGGGTGGGGGTAGCATCAATCAATTGTATTTAATACTTTCTTGGTCACCCTCCTGCGACACAAACAACGTCTACCGATGACGGATACTGTCCAAAACAGGTACAGCAATGGGTTGGGCAAGCTGTCTCTATAGAATGCTATTAGACCCGGCTAATTAATAAATGACAACATTAATAAAGGTGTCAAATTGGGCTACAAGGATACAAACATTGAAAACATAACAGCTGCCATTTAGTAAGGATGTCATGTCTACAATGGTGACATGTAAAGTCCGATAAACTGACTTCAGTCCATGGTTCTTTTTTGGCCTTAATCAGCCTACCAAAGTGAGTTTGTGTCGAGTGAGTTTGTGTGTGTGTTGAGATGAATACAAATTCTTCCCGTACGTATGTTGCATACAAAGTGAACAATTGTGGCCCCTTTATTTTATTCATAAAGGTTCAGTGTATCTATGCCAGCCTACATCAATCTGCAAAGGAGTTGCAGAAAAGCCTCATGTTCATCGAGCCGTGAGTCACACATGATTTTTAAAGCTGTTATGAATAATAATAATCCAAACAATTGTTTGCTTTCCGGAAGTTGTACTTTTTTTAGCATCACAACAATGGATATTAAAATCTTCAATGACACTTTGAATTACAATTTGGAAGCAGTAAATGCAGCTTGAATTAAGACGTTGCCTGGCTGCGTTGAAAGCCACGTTTATTGTCAAGCAGAGACAATATTAGCCATCGAAAAGCTTTGCACAGATCTTTTACAATCTGACTTGTGTATCATTCCACACTTCCCTACTACAGGTTTGGGCAAGAAAACAGTTCCCATTTATACTTTTCTACAGCGGGTTTAAAATTCTGCAGCTGAGGTCTTGGAGAATGCAGATGGGTACAGTATGTTGCAGCTCGCAGTGTGTATAAAACTAACGTATTTTTCTTGGTTTTCTTTTCAATGTTCCATTTGTGTCAGGGACTTGGTCGGCGCCAACTATATGCTAGGCCTAAATCTATTTTAAATGGTCTCATTTTGTTGAAGTTAGGAGATCTAGCTGACACGGTAACAGCTGTTGCAGTGACACAGCCCAGTTAAGCAGAGTGGCAATGTCATGAGACCAAGGGAGCCTCATGAGCCTGTCCCTGTCAATCATTAAAAACACCCATACAGTAGGCTTACTACCATTTGGCTGTTGATTTTCTATAGGCCTATATTCTTTAATTGAACAGGTGCTTTCAGAATGCAATGACGAGAGTGGCAAGTCTGTCTTAGCACAACCATATTATTAAAATAGTATCGAGGCTCTGGTAAGGTAAGCCTCTAGGTCACAGCAGAAAATACAACAAGCCATAAGGGACACGCCACTCTGGTCCCAATGCAGGCCCCATTGTTTACCAGATAAAACACTGACTGGTGAACCTGGGTTAGGTTTAAGATGACCTAAGTTTCAGCTTTAAACAGGTAAAAGCGTTTTTACAAAGCCACGTTTTTGGACATCTTAAGACAAAGTGGATGTCGTTGAATACTGTCCAAAGGCACACATTCTGTCAGTTGATGCTTTCTAGCTCAATATATCTATGTTAATTTCACCCAAATAAAGAGAATCCCAAGATGCAGTTGTAGAAATGGTCAAATCTATGCCCCTTTACCCTAATATGGGTATAAAGTATTGCATACCTCGCTCTAGTGGATTAGTAGCTATGTGAGGTCTTTCTGACTGTTGATTTTGCATGTTTCAGGGGATGAGACGCGGCAGAGGGTCAAGTTCACTGACGAGCGGGTCTGCAAAAGCCATCTCCTGAACTGCTGTCCCCACGACATCCTCTCTGGAACTGTAAGCAGACTAAGCACTCTCTCCTTCCATTGTCGCGTTTTGCCAGAAACCATTTGTTACCCTAATATGATTGATTGAATCAGCAGTTAAAGTCTAGTCAGTAATATTGGTTGATCTATTCTGAATATTTAGTGCAGTGACTGTTAACTACTTTCTAAAGCAGACGATGTAGGAACTATGGCTGTGTCTTGACTAATTGATTTCGACTTCATCGACAGCGTATGGATCTGGGAGAATGTACGAAGACCCATGACCTGGCGCTCCGGGCCGACTATGAAATCGCCTCCAAGGAGAGAGAACTCTTCTTTGAGCTTGACGTAAGTGATGTCCACAGTCAGTTCAATTAAATGCATCTTAATTGATCCCTTCCGTGCAGAGTAAGTTTTACTTCTTCTATACTGAACAAAGATCTAAACGCAACATGCAACAATTCCAAAGATTTTACTGAGTTACAGTTCATATAAGGAAATCAGTCAATTGAAATAAATTCATTAGGCCCTAATATATGGATGTCATATGACTGGGAATATAGATATGCATCTGTTGGTCACAGATACCTTAAAGGTAGGGGCGTAGATCAGAAAACCAGTTAGTATTTGGTTGCATTTACCTCATGCAGCGCGACACATATCCTTTGCATGGAGTTGATCAGGCTGTTGATTGTGGCCTGTGGAATATTGTCCCACTCCTCTTCAATGGCTGTGCAAAGTTGCTGGATATTGTTGGGAACTGGAATACGCTGTCATACAAGTCGATCCAGAGCATCCCAAACATGCTCTGGTGAGTATGTAGGCCATCAAATAACTGGGACATTTACAGCTTCCAGGAATTGTGTACAGATATTGGGCAGTGCATTATCATGCTGAAACATGAGATGATGGTGACGGATGAATGGCACAACAATGGGCCTCAGAATCTCTTCACGGTATCTCTGTGCATTCAAATTGCCATCGATTAAAATGCAATTGTGTTGTCCGTAGCTTATGCTTGCCCATACCATAACCCCATCACCACCATGGGGCACTCTGTTCACAACATTGACATCAGCAAACTGCACGCCCTCACAACGCCATACACGTGGTCTGCGGTTGTGAGGCCGGTTGGACGTACTGCCAAATTATCTTAAACGACGTTGGAGACGGCTTATGGTAGAGAATTGAACATTAAATTCTATGGCAACAGCTCTGGTGGACATTCCTGCAGTCAGCATGCCAATTGCATGCTCCCTCAAAACTTGAGACATCTATGGCATTGTGTTGTGGGACAAAACTGCACATTTCACTTGCCTTTAATTGTCCCCAGCAAAAGGTGCACCTGGGTAATGCTGTTTAATCAGCTTCTTGATATGCCACACCTGTCAGGTGGATGGATTATCTTGGCAAAGGAGAAATGCTCACTAACAGGGATGCAAATGAATTCGTGCACCAAATTTGAGAGAAATACGCTTTTTGTGCGTGTGGAATATTTCTGGGATCTTCTATTTCAGCTCATGAAACATGGGGCCAATACATGTTGCGTTTTATATTTTTGTTCAGTGTTGTTCATTTTACCTGTGCAGCAGTTCGTGTTCCATTGACTTGTATGGAGTTGACTTTTCTGTGGTTGACTATAGGCTGTGGATCACCTGGAGTCTTTCATTGCTGATTGTGACCGTAGAACAGAGTTGGCCAAGAAACGACTGGTCGAGACCCAAGATGAGATCAGTGCGGAGGTGGCTGCGAAGGTGAGAGGGCAAGATGAACCTTGTTGTGGAGTGTAAGGACGACATGTTGTTGGAAACGTTCTGATCCAGACTGATGTATGATGTTGTTGAGTTGTGTGTGTGATTCTCCAGGCAGAGACTGTCCACGAGCTGAACGAGGAGATCGGGAAGCTCCTGGCCAAGGCAGAGCAGCTGGGAGCAGAGGGGAACGTGGACGAGGCCCAGTTGGTCCTACAGGAAGTGGAGAAGGTCCGCAGCAGGAAGAGGGATGCTGAGGTGAGGAGGAGGGGTTGTTTTCCTCGCAACACGTCTATTCCATCAAACTAGCCCTAACTATAAACCTGGGTCGAGTTTAGCAGGGCACACCTTAGCAAAAACATTTTGCAATGTAAAATTATGTTCTTATTGGACAAGTTTAAGTGGAACCATCCGGTTTCACTTCATTTTCACCATACTGAACTCGACCCCATTCTTTCCTGTCCTGACTCATTCTCTTTTTCCATATCTTCTGTTTTCTGCTTCTCAGGAGGAGTACAGAAACTCCATGCCTGCCTCCAGTTTCCAGCAGCAGAAACTCCGTGTCTGCGAGGTGTGCTCGGCCTACCTGGGTCTCCACGACAATGACCGTCGCCTAGCCGACCACTTTGGCGGGAAGCTGCACCTGGGCTTCATCCAGATCAGGGAGAAACTGGAAGCTCTGAAGGTATGCTCTGAACCACCTCAGACCACATAGGTTGCTTAGTACACCTGGCAAGATGAGAGATCTTGGACTGATTTCCCGTTTTGAGGATTATGCAGGGACATTGTTTGGGATTAAAGCACTGCAAACGTCTATCTTTTGGGATTCCTTTGAATTTTGCCGCAAGGACTTTTTGACATTAGAATTTATTAACACAATCATTTTTTTATGTTAAGACTTAGGCTAATGCCATTGCTCACCATTTTTTCAAATCAGAAAACCGTCCTTGACAAGCAGGAGAAGAGGAACCAGGATCGTCTGAAGAGGAGAGAAGAGAGGGAGAAGGAGGGGGGGGTGAAGAAGAGGTGGGTACAGGACTTAACTTTTCAGAAATCATTTAATTGATGTAGGCACATGATTTATAAACATGTTGGTGGTGATGGCAGCACTTCTTGGGAAAAATAATCGATTTATGTACTGTATGTGGAGGCAAATGGAGATATTTTCATAGCGGTATCTTCATTGTTTTGTCTGTCATTTTATAGGACCAAATCACGGAGCAGGGAACGGAGCAGGGAACATAGAAGGTTAGTATGGGCCCCCAGCCATTTGCTGCCATATGAATTATATTAGATACACGATATCATCGTTTATTACTGTATATAGGACTTCTCTGGGTCTGTGCTGCAGGTCCCGCTCTCGCGAACGTAGGAGACGGCGTTCCCGTTCCTCGTCTCGGGAGAGGCGCCGTTCCTCCCGCTCGCGCTCCAGGGACCGGGAGAGGAGGAGACGCCGCCGCTCCCGATCCTGCAGCAAGGGCCGCCGCCACAGCCACGAGCCCAGCACCAGACACAAGTAGGAGAACAAACACACATTACTCAAACACAATCATAAAACCACTTCTCATAATAAATACACATTGGATGTATGTGTAACAAGACCGTGTGGAATGGTTCCAGGTCATCCAGGGATCGAGAGCGCTCATCCAGAGACCGTTCACGGGAGCGAAGCAGGAAGAGGGGATCCTCCGAGCGGCGGCAGGACAGCAGGGATCAGAATGGGAGGACAGACTCCCGCCGGGCGGAGGACAGACACACCGGAGACCTCTGAGGACTCTCGCTGTCCAGCCATCCTCAAAACACAACCTCCTTTTGTCTCTCTTTCATACCTGTCCATAGATCTATAAGGACTCTCTCCTTGTATGAATCCTCCCTCCATTTCCTTAACAGCAATGTCCAGAGACGTTTTGCTTTGACAGATATTCCAGCCAACCCACTGTGTCCCAAATAAATAGAGCTTATATGACCATAAAGGTGTGTGTGTACATATTGTATATTGCGCATATATATATACACACACACAGTGGGGGAAAAAAGTATTTAGTCAGTCACCAATTGTGCAAGTTCTCCCACTTAAAAAGATGAGAGAGGCCTGTAATTTTCATCATAGGTACACGTCAACTATGACAGACAAAATTTGAAAAATAAATCCAGAAAATCACACTGTAGGATTTTTAATGAATATGTTTGCAAATTATGGTGGAAAATAAGTATTTGGTCAATAACAAAAGTTTTGTCAATGCTTTGTTATATACCCTTTGTTGGCAATGACACAGGTCAAACGTTTTCTGTAAGTCTTCACAAGGTTTTCACACACTTGCTGGTATTTTGGCCCATTCCTCCATGCAGATCTCCTCTAGAGCAGTGATGTTTTGGGGCTGTCGCTGGGCAACACGGACTTTCAACTCCCTCCAAAGATTTTCTATGGGGTTGAGATCTGGAGACTGGCTAGGCCACTCCAGGACCTTGAAATGCTTCTTACGAAGCCACTCCTTCGTTGCCCGGGCGGTGTGTTTGGGATCATTGTCATGCTGAAAGACCCAGCCACGTTTCATCTTCAATGCCCTTGCTGATGGAAGGAGGTTTTCACTCAAAATCTCACGATACATGGCCCCATTCATTCTTTCCTTTACACGGATCAGTCGTCCTGGTCCCTTTGCAGAAAAACAGCCCCAAAGCATGATGTTTCCACCCCCATGCTTCACAGTAGGTATGGTGTTCTTTGGATGCAACTCAGCATTCTTTGTCCTCAAAACAAGACGAGTTGAGTTTTTACTAAAAAGTTTTATTTTGGTTTCATCTGACCATATGACATTCTCCCAATCCTCTTCTGGATCATCCAAATGCACTCTAGCAAACTTCAGACAGGCCTGGACATGTACTGGCTTAAGCAGGGGGACACGTCTGGCACTGCAGGATTTGAGTCCCTGGCGGCGTAGTGTGTTACTGATGGTAGGCTTTGTTACTTTGGTCCCAGCTCTCTGCAGGTCATTCACTAGGTCCCCCTGTGTGGTTCTGGGATTTTTGCTCACCGTTCTTGTGATCATTTTGACCCCACGGGGTGAGATCTTGCGTGGAGCCCCAGATCGAGGGAGATTATCAGTGGTCTTGTATGTCTTCCATTTCCTAATAATTGCTCCCACAGTTGATTTCTTCAAACCAAGCTGCTTACCTATTGCAGATTCAGTCTTCCCAGCCTGGTGCAGGTCTACAATTTTGTTTCTGGTGTCCTTTGACAGCTCTTTGGTCTTGGCCATAGTGGAGTTTGGAGTGTGACTGTTTGAGGTTGTGGACAGGTGTCTTTTATACTGATAACAAGTTCAAACAGGTGCCATTAATACAGGTAACGAGTGGAGGACAGAGGAGCCTCTTAAAGAAGAAGTTACAGGTCTGTGAGAGCCAGAAATCTTGCTTGTTTCTAGGTGACCAAATACTTATTTTCCACCATAATTTGCAAATAAATTCATTAAAAATCCTACAATGTGATTTTCTGGATTTTTTTTAACTCAATTTGTCTGTCATAGTTGACGTGTACCTATGATGAAAATTACAGGCCTCTCTCATCTTTTTAAGTGGGAGAACTTGCACAATTGGTGGCTGACTAAATACTTTTTTTTCCCCACTGTATATATATATATATATATATATATAATGATGTGTTTGTGTGTATGTGTATATATATATATATATATATCATTATATATACATATCATTATATATAGATATATGTATATACACATATCATTATATATATATATAATGATGATATGTATTGCAATCAACAGCCATCACTAAAAACATACACTGCCAGGACCTTGTGCACCCCCACAACTATCATCCCCCACACCCTTATCCTAGGATATATCAAATCAAATTTTATTGGCCACATGCGCCGAATACAACAGGTGCAGACATTACAGTGAAATGATTACTTACAGCCCTTAACCAACAGTGCATTTATTTTTAATAAAAAAGTAAAATAAAACAAAAACAAAAAAGTGTTGAGAGAAAAAAGAGCAGAAGTAAAATAAAATAACAGTAGGGAGGCTATATATACAGGGGGGTACCGGTGCAGAGTCAATGTGCGGGGGCACCGGCTAGTTGAGGTAGTTGAAGTAATATGTACATGTGGGTATATTTGAATATCTATAATTGTTCTAGTATTCAAATATATCCTGGGATAAGGGTGTGGGGGATGATAGTTGTGGGGGTGCACAAAGTCCTGGCAGTGTATGTTTTTAGTGATGGCTGTTGATTGCAATACATATGATTATATATATATATTCTATAAAATGATCCTAAATATACAATTTAAGTGGGAGTCAGTAGCTATAGAAATAATAAATGAATGACCATTGAATGAACCATAAACTTAAAGAATAGAGCGTTTCTGTGTTTTGATACTGTTATTTTTTAACTGTCAGGATTGCTGTGCGATTGAGACACTGCTTAATCCTACCTCCTGCGTACTGTCCTGGGTTGTGTTCATTAGGCACCAAACGGAAGAAACCGGACAAACAGGGAGAGGTCATCTGGATTTGTCCAATAAGAAAAGCACATTTTTGCTTTCCTGTAAAAACGTAGTGAAAGGTTTTCAATTAGTGCCCTAATGAACACGACTCGGCATATTGCCTTGGATTGGCTTCTCTCTGCAAGGCCTTCTTCCCTTCCTAGAGGCTGTTTCACATTGCTGGTCGCAGCCATTTGCCACTTAAAGTTGCAAAAAATATTTACCATACCAGTAAGCATAGAATCTGTTCTGCACATATCTGACCAAAGATTGATCAACTAAGACATATTGTTGTTGTGTTTGACTGGATCAGGACATTTGAAAATACAATAAGAAATTTGGTCAGTTGTGAACATTAGTGAGCTCATTTCTGTCAGCTTGTGAAATACCCTCTGCTTCTATAGCTCTGGCCTAGACTGAGGACATTTATCTCTGGAGAGATTGTAGCAGTTTCATTGAATATGTCATAATACCTAATACAGACAGGGTTTCTTATGCTTTATATTTTATTGTCCTTTGTGTTCACAAATGGTGGCGAGTCTTTTTTTTCATAGAATTTTAAAAGTGTGTTCCAAGTATTCATGTCATGTGAAGTCTGCATTTGTGTGTAGTAGACATGGACTTTGCATGTCTCTCCAATGGATCGAGTAGGAAATGCTGTTTTGGATTGAGAATGACCGTTCCAGGCTTACTGTATATGACCCTAGAAGTCAGCTACGTTACCCTGGTTTTGGCCAATGACACTTGGTGCTGGGAACAATATCCTAAGTACCTGCTTATGTCCATTTTACTTTCCAATCTGCCGTTTGTACATTTTCAAAAAATGTTGGTTCATGCATGTCAGTCACTTGAAATTGGATGCAAACACATATAAAGGAATGCGTTGCTTTTCCTAATGTGTGCCAGCTGTAGTATTGGTCAGGTCTGTTAGTATTATTTTGCTAGAAGATGATTTTGTCTGAAGCCTGAATAAAAATCCCAGAATTGTATTAATCTATTTACCTGAGATCTTTCCTCAGGGCCTAAGTGTAAAGCTTATGTTCTATTCAAATAACATTATTTATCTTCTAGTATCTTGTGTGGGTGTATACATTACAGACATCAATAAGACAAGTAGATACAGTATACATTAAGTTAGTCTGCAAATAGCAGGTGTAGTTGGTACAATGCACAAATGATTCAAAGTCAACATAGAAAGGAGAGAATATTCTAGAATACAGCAAAGATTATGGTTGGCTTAAAAGAGGACAATTTATCCTAGAAAGTTTAACTGAAGCAAGCATTTGCAGCAAAAGGCAAAGCCTTGATTCAAGACTGTACAGTCTGGTTTGAAGTGCAACCAATGACATAAAATGAATATTTGCATAATGTTTCATCCGACAGTGTTCGACTGTTTGTTAGATAGAATCAAGCCAGTGTGCGCGCATTTTTCTCATTTAGCTGGAGTCTTTTCCTTTTGGGCGAGTGACACGATGCCTGAAACGTGGGTCTTATAGTGTGCTACTCTCCAGTTTCAGATCCATCTTCATCTTCTGTTTTTCCATCACTGCCTCCAGCTCTGTGGTCTTCCGGGCGTCCTGAGAGAACATAATTCCAAATGAGTTCAAAACATGGTAAGACGACACAACAGGGAAATTATGAATTTAAAACTGCGTGCAACTGGAGTAAACTGTTGGGAAATATATTATTTTGTATTAGTCTTATGTGTAAAATAATCCTGAGGAACACTGCAATCATCATAGGTTGCCTACTAAAATAATTCCCACGTGTATTAACACACAATAGGCAGATCAGTACCTCCAACAGTGTTTTCTGCACAGTGAGCTGGCTGTACACTCTGGCGCCCTCGTCTGGTAGGACTTGTCGTAGGTCCTCCTTGTTCAGAGAGAAGAGCAGGGCTCCTGTCAGCTTTCCCAGTAATGTCACCGTCCTAAGATGGGAGACACACACAGGTAGTCAGTCACCTGCCTCTGACTTTACCCTTCATTTACCTATCCCATTCAATCATCCATGAACAACTGAGTCATCTCTGTGTATTAACTAGACAGATCTACTTAGTCACAGGGTTACTCAGTCCCGGTCTTGAGGACTATTTCAGGTTCAACCAATTACAATTGATTCGTTAGAAATTAAATACATATCTGTATATAATCCCCGAGCCGACTAGGTGAAAAATCTGTCGATGTGCCCTTGAGCAAGGCACTTAACCCTAATTGCTCCTGTAAGTCGCTCTGGATAAGAGCGTCTGCTAAATGACTAAAAATGTAAATGTAAAATGTATATTGCGTCAAATGCCTTTGAACAGATTAGTAAGAAATACATAAGCAGTACCTAAATCTTGGAGTTACTATAAGTCCGCTATACATGAGGAGTACCCATGACCAGAATAGGTCCCTGATTGGAATGTGATGCAGAATAGGTCCCTGATTGGAATGTGATGCAGAATAGGTCCCTGATTGGAATGTGATGCAGAATAGGTTCCTGATTGGAATGTGATCAGTATGGAGTTTGTGGTTGGTGGGGGTCACGTCAAACTCACGTCTCACTGAAGCCCTTCCCCCTGAGCCACTGCTCCACCTCTTCGGGGGGTGAGTGGTAGTCCAGGGGGACCAAGGTGTCAGACGAGCGATGGATGACCAGGGGCTTGTTCAGGTTGGCCTTCCCATTGGTCAGTCTCTGGAGCAGCTCGTCATTCACCATCATGACTGAGGAGAGAGAGAGTTTTTACAACGTGTTAAAGTGTTATCTATGTCTATCTTTGTCTGGCTTATCTTGCTAAAACAGAGCAGTCAGAAGACTTTCCTGTCATAAGGCAGGTAGCCTAGCGGTTAAGAGCGTAACCGAAAGGTTGCAGGTTCGAATCCCTGAGCCGACTAGGTGAAAAATCTGTTGATGTGCCCTTGAGCAAGGCATTTAACCCTAGTTGCTCTAGATAAGAGTGTCTGCTAAATGACTCAAATGTAAAAAAATAAAAATACAAGAGCTGAAAGCACTTCTCTCCTGTTTTTATGTAATTCACACAGTGCAAACAGACAACCACCTCCCCCTTCTCTGGAGCCTCCTTCACACACAATTGCGCATGGACACAGACACAAACATACATTCACACAGCAGAGCAAAGACCGAGAGCATCTCTGTGTAGTGCCTGAGTCTCTCCTCTGACACACACAGACAAAGACACACGCACACAGTGCAGAAATATGCTGTAAATCCTCTCAGTATAGTGTGATACCTTTGTCTGTGTCGTCTCCGGCTGGAATGTGTTGGCTGTATTGGTTGTATGATTGTGGGCGAGGGCGGTGTTGCGCTGAGGGGCTAGGAGTCAAGGAGCTAGAGTTAAAGGCTGGAGGGCTGGGAGGAATGTGAGTCTTGGTCAGGCCAGGTGAGACTGGAGGCTGGACAGCAGAGGGGAAAGGAAAGAGAGAGGGAACAACATTGAAAACACTGATATGGAATATCAAATCACTGAAAGGAATATCAGTACCAGTATCTGGGTGTGGGTAAAAGAATGGGTGTTGTGTGTGTGTGTTACCTTAGGTTGTCTCATGTTGACAGGGCTGTCTCTGTGAGCCACTGGCTCCAGGATGTTGAATGGGACAAAGCCCACCTCGTCGAAGCGATTACGACACTTCCACCAGCGTTTGGACGACTCCACCACCTGACACGGTAAAGGAGAGGAGCCTATGTTTATACAGAGAATAATTAAGGAAGAATAAAACAAGTGATAGATTTAATCGTGTAGTATTACACAACTCACCATTTCCTATCTCTAGAAGTGATAGCTGTTGCCAAGGTAACAACCAGTATGTATGTACAGTATGCCTAGAATCTGGCAAGGACAAAGTGTACCTGTGCTATGTGTCAATATTTATTTCCTAGGTTTTTAAACTCAGGCGTTACTAATGCTTGATTGATGATAAATGTTTTAGAACTGGATTTTGTACAGTATCACCAATATTACCGGACTGTGTACCGGATTTTCTCATTTACAGATTTAGGATCTTAATTTGATCACCCTGTTGCAGGAGATCAAACACTTCTAGTGTATTTGAGGTTTAAAAAGGCTTCTGATTTTTTTTCTCCCATTAATTATAATCAACATAATAATTCACATTTCCTGTTGCTACAGGATTATTTTCCTGCTCAAGCAAACTGACTCAAATTAAGATCCTACATCGGTACCAACCATGTGTCTTACCATTAAAAGAGAGGCAAGTCCTAGAACCGTTGCACAGAGACTAGCTACCAGGCGTGTGTTGTTCAAGAATGTTCCTGAATATTTATGTTGTGTAATAATACTTAATGTCACTTAATGACTTTTCAAATGTTTACCTCCAGTGTATCTCCCTGTTGTACTGACAGCTCACTGTTGTTGCGGGCCACAAAGTCATAGCTGCAGGTGTACATCCTCTCTCCCTCTGGGGGTAGGACACTGCTATCCCTGAGAAGAAAGGAGTGTATGATTGATTCTACTGCAAAATAAAAGTAAACAATACATTTTTTTATTTTTTTTTATCCAAACGTGATTTGAAAACGTACATTTCATTGCTCATAGGGGTGACTGGAGGTCCAACTGGCTGAGTAGGCTGCAACTGAATTAGAGAGAGAGAGAGAGAGAGAGAGAGAGAGAGAGAGAGAGAGAGAGAGAGAGAGAGAGAGAGAGAGAGAGAGAGAGAGAGAGAGAGAGAGAGAGAGAGAGAGAGAGAACGAGAGAGAACGAGAGAGAGAGAGAGAACGAGAGAGAGAGAGAACGAGAGAGGGGGGGGGGGGGGGGGGGAGAGGTCAGGACAGTACAGAGCACATTCATATGACGTCACACACTTTGTCAACTCCTCAATGTACATGATGTACACTACCAGTCAAAAGTTCGGACACGCTGAAGATAGCCCTATTTGGTAAAAGACCAAGTCCATATTATGGCAAGAACAGCTCAAATAAGCAAAGATAAATGACAGTCCATCATTACTTTAAGACATAAAGGTCAGACAATACGGAACATTTCAAGAACTTTGAACGTTTCTTCAAGTGCAGTCGCAAAAACCATCAAGCGTTATGATGAAACTGGCTCTCATGAGGACCGCCACAGGAATGGAAGACCCAGAGTTACCTCTGCTGCAGAGGATAAGTTCATTAGAGTTACCAGCCTCAGTAATTGCAGCCCAAATAAATGCTTCACAGAGTTCAAGTAACAGACACATCTCAACATCAACTGTTCAGAGGGGACTGTGTGAATCAGGCTTTCATGGTCGAATTGCTGCAAAGAAACCACTACTGAAGGACACCAATAACAAGAATCCCATCTGGTTTGGGCTTTGCGGGTCTATCATTTCTTTTTCAGCACAATGACCCAACACACCTCCAGGCTGTGTAAGGTCTATTTTACCAAGAAGGAGCGTGATGGAGTGCTGCATCAGATGACCTGTCCTCCACAATCCCCCGACCTCAACCCAATTGAGATGGTTTGGGATGAGTTGGACCGCAGAGTGAAGGAAAAGCAGCCAACAAGTGCTCAGCATATGTGGGAACTCCTTCAAGACTGTTGGAAAAGCATTCCAGGTGAAGCTGGTTGAGAAAATGCCAAGAGTCTGCAAAGCTGTCATCAAGGCAAAGGGTGGCTACTTTGAAGAATCTCAAATATAAAATATATTTTGATTTGTTTAACACTTTTTTGGTTACTACATGATTCCAAATGTGTTATTTCATAGTGTTGATGTCTTCACTATTATTCTACAATGTAAAAAATAGTGAAAATAAAGAAAAACCCTTGAATGAGTAGGTGTGTCCAAACTTTTGACTGGTACTGTACATAGGTGTACATCTCTCATATTCCATACTTCTAGTTTTTCCCTCAGGGCTTCATGTTTGTGTTGTGACTCGACTGGATCCTCCCAAACCTGCCTGTCTGCCCTGGAGGCCTCTGGCTTCCACCCGTCCAGGAACACAGGTGTGTACGGGGCCACTGGGCCTTTGAGCTGGGAACTGAGAGGAGAGAGGAAGAAAGAGAGAGAGTAGAGAGAGACATTTCTGACCTTTGACCTTTAACAAACAAATATTATTTCAAATAGTATAGCCAGTGTAGACATTGCCTAGAAAGGAATTAGGTAATCTCTCTCCACAATACAAATACTGTACTATTTCAGCGGCTGGCTGAATAAATATTGACATTGTCATGTCATGCTGTGTCATCATGTCACGTTGCTCCAATGTCACAGACCAAAAGCCTCAGAGTCAAAGGAGAGCCTTATGAGTCTGGCACACTGGCACATGACATGAGACTACTAACTGCCAAACTCAATACCCCAATCATATGGGTCTATGGGGGCATCAAATGTTCTGTAGTTGTCAATACTGACCGTGGGAGTGTCCAGTGGGGCCCCAGAGCCATCCATAGCTGCCTCTCCTCCTCAGACAGGTTGTCTTGAAGAAGGGTTACAGCTGAGTTGGTCAGGGCAGGACTGGTCACTGAAGCCCCTAGAGCAGGACCCCCGGTAGTCCTCACCAGCTGGGGACACAGAGTAAAGAGACCACAGTTTAGATCAGGATCATTGGAAATAATGGATTCATTATGAAGGGCAATCTAGGCCTAATGGAGGGTGAAACCGCACATGAGCAATGTTTTCACTATGGTGATATATAAAGACATGTAATAACATTTACATATTGGGTAATACCAGTCAGTGATTGGCAATATATTATAAGGCCTGTTTCCCAGACACAGATTAAGCCTAGTCCTGGACTAAAAAGCATTTTCAATGGAGTGCTTTTTAATCCAGGACTAGGCTTAATCTGTGTCTGGGAAACAGGCCTTATAATATATTGCCAATCACTGACTGGTATTACCCAATATGTAAATGTTATTACATGTCATTATATATCACCATAGTGAAAACATTGCTCATGTGCGGTTTCACCCTCCCATCCCTCTCAGCAGGTATGCTACAGATAAGCAAGCCGTCACACCTCTCTTGGTTTCTCCCTGTTTCCATGAAGGTGTGCCAGGATACACATACCTAAGCTGGCCGTTTTTCCAATTCCACCCTCTATTCTGTCATGGAGTGATGCATCGTTTTATAGGCAGGCAGTTCTTACACTGTGCCAACCCTCTCTGAGTAAACTGGCACACCTGAACATATCTCCTGTGCGTATCTTCCATTACACTTTAAATACTTTAACTTCACAGTCATATGACACTTTTGGGTTAAATTGTGTCTTTATGAGTCGGTTTATAATGGTTTTGCTAAAGAATACTGCCTTTTTCATGTGGCCAAAGTTTAAATCTGTGATAACACACTGGACACTACCTTGAGCAAATATTGAACAGCACTCAAAATATCTAAAGGTTTCATCCAGTAACCTCTGTGTTGGAAACCATTGGCCATAGTTCTCTCCCTCCAGAGCATAAGCAATGGGTATAAAGGTTATCATTGCTGACTCACCATATCTAGAGGTTTGAACACATGGTGGAGCAGCTCTTCTGAGGATGGGTTGGAGATGGAAGACTTGAGATGAGCCTGGGAAGAAAGATGATGAGTGGGTACACAATATCTAAACTGTTTTGTTGACATAACGAAACCTTGAAAGAAATGTGGAGTAGTCATGGCAATGTCCCCTTTACTCACCAGTAGGCTGAAGCAGTATTTCAATTTTTGGAAGATGTCCATGAATTCTTCTTCAGGTGGAGGGTGAGCTTTTGCAGTAAGCAAGTCCTCTATTTTTGAGATAAAAGACATCCAAAAAATATCAGTTATTTCAGCTTTGAACGGCATCTTGAGTTGAACCAGTTTAGGAGGTCACATGGCCAGCAAACCTATTCTTGCTCATGTGAACCTTCTTAATGTTGAGCCCTATAGTTGCTTAAGACAAAACAGAAAACAAATTCCTTATCCCTCTTACCCTCTGCTGTTTGCTTGCGACTTTTCTTATTTTTCTTCTTCCTCTGGCTTAAAACTGTGGCAGCTTCTGCAGTCTGTTGTAGTTTTGCCATGAAGACCTCAATATCATCGAAACAGTGATTAAGGATCCCCTGAAATGTAGACACGCATGAGAAAACAGTTAACCCTACAGTAAAATTGTGATTAAAACATATTATATTGGAATTTTAAAGCATATAATAGTATTATTACGTACCACTTCTCTCTCAGCTCGTAGAAAAGAGATATCAGGTTGTTGCCCGTTGTTAACACCATTCGCTGTTGAGGACATAAAAGGAGATTCAGATCGTCCATTTCCATTCATGACCTTAGTTGGAATTTCCTGCATTCAGAATTCCTGCCCACTCTAACTACCAACACACCTTCCCCCAACACACACAATGCAACCTCTGTCCTCATGAGAACCTTTTACCTTAAAGGGACAATCTGCAGTTGCTACATTCATTTTTGGAATTATAAATGTATGATAGGTACTCATTGATTCTTGAAGAATTTAACTTATAAATGCCTCATGAGCTTAGTTCAACTGTCATTCCCCAGCAGAACCCAAAATATAAGCTTGTTTTACTCCAATGTTTGTAAACAAAGTAAATGTAAACAGACACTATATAGCCTCAAAACATTGTTACAACTATAAGTTTGATATCATGGAGGGTCAGTCCTTGCATCCATAGCTCTGTCTATAAATCTGAGAATGGTTACATTTCTCCAGCCCCATCCCTTTTTACTGAAACAGGGGCGGGGAGTTCACTTTGTTATTGTTTCAACTGTTGATTACCGGTTGAAATACCTCTACCGGTGCTTCATTCTCCCCTCCCTCCCTCACTCTCTCTCATCCTCTCTCTTCCCCACTCTTCCCCTCCTAGACAATTCGGTTCAAAGCATTTAATTGACATGGCAAATATGTAAATTGCCAGAGCATACACAAACATTGGCACTCAAACAAACAAGATGGCTCCTCTCTTCTTACCTCTGATTCCTGGGTAAGGGGGAGGGTTGACAGGCGGGGCGTTGGGAGCATGTGGAATGGGGGGACTCGGAATTCCGTAGGGGTCCATCATCGCTGCTTTGGTATTTTGGGGAAGAACAGGGTCTATCGGAGGAAGTCTGGAGGAAAAGGAGATACATTTTTTGGAAATCAGGACATATAATATATCATGCACCTTTCTACCTTCCAGGATAGATTTGTAAAGCAACTTTCTCATTTGACTTCATGGTTGGAATTCAGCTGAAAAAACACAAATTAAGCTCTAGTCAGTAAGGTCAATATCCTAACTTGCAACAAAGGCCTGTCATAATCATGAATATGATTCATGCAAAAATGTCAACGCTGTTCCTATGTTTTAGGTCATCATGACTGTTGCTGATAACAACCATTCATTCAACACCATGGGAAACGCCCTTCACTAAAGGCGTACGAAACTTATTGAATCTCCTTGGTAAATAATGATCGACATTTACAGTCAAATGTACACAATCCGGTTACAATAGGTCATTTTCTGATCATCTGATAAACTGAAATGAAAGCACAAACAATCTTGATTTGTGCCAATCTTGCGAAAATAAACGTTTTAAAATATAAAATGTCAGATTTAACCAGCAGAGGTCCTTAGATTTGTTCTCATATCAATGTCAACGTAGGCCCACTGTGACTAACACGTCAAAATGGAAAAGGAAAGTGGAAGGGGGAAAAAGTAAGGATCTTGTCTGTCGGCCTTGCGTTAAAGAATATAATTGGTTAAAGAAAATTGTGATAAATAAAAAAGTATACCAGTTTAATTTAAGGAACAAAGGATTGACAGCCATCCCATATAGATAGCAAAATAGTTGGGAAGAGATTTTTGACGTACCGATTCCATGGCATAGTGTTTATGAATTGATACGCAAAACGACGCCGGATTCAAAACGTTGAATTTTTCAATTTAAATGATTATATAAAATTCTTTTTACCAATAGAATGTTATTTATATGGGGGATACAATCTTCCCAGCTCTGCAGATTTTGCTGCGAAGAGACAGAATCATTAGATAATTTGTTTTGGTACTGTCCAGTTGTAGCTTGTTTTTGGACACAGGTCCAGGAATGGCTAAAGGATTGCAATATTTACCTGGAGCTAACCCTGCAGATAGCACTACTGGGTGATCTGAAAAGTCATAGTCAATCGATCAATAATATAATAATACTTTTAGCAAAAATGTTTATTTTCAATTTACGATCTGTAGAAACAATGAGAATAGAAAGGTTCAGATCTTTTGTAAAACATCACAGTACAGTTGAAAAATATATGGCAAATAGAAATCCAATATGGATGGTGTTAAGAGATAGATGGGAGGGGATGAGTGGAGCTGAAGTATGGGACTAATAACAACAACTAATAACAACAAGATAACTAATGTAAAGCATACTGTGTCCATAATAAGTATATAGGTTATAGGTTGAGAGCTTTTGTGAAAGAGCACAGTTAGAAAAATATGGCATATAGAAGCAAACCAGATGGACATCATAAAATGTATATAGTATGTATGGGCTGGAAGTAGAGGCCTAAGCGTTGTTGTTCACTAGTTTACTCCAATTGGGGAAGGGGTGGTGGGGTTGGAAAGTAATGAAGGGAAATATAATTTTAAAAAAGGATATGTGTGTGTGTATGGATGTATGTATATGTGTATGTATATATATGTGTGTGTGTATGTGTGTGTATATATGTGTATATGTTTATGTGTATGTGTGTATATATATATATATATATATATATATATATATATATATATATATATATATGGGGGATTGGAAGTGATGCAGACAATTACATTGATGAAAGTTACAATCTATCTGAAATATTAAAGCTGATCTACCCCCTAAAAAAAATAAAAAATAAAAATAAACACGTCAACGCACATATACAACTTTCTATAGCTAAAATGACAAAGCAAATGTATTCCTCAACAACTTTAGTCAGAATTGGCACAAAAGATTTAGACAGACAGAGTTCTGTCACATTTGTCACATTTGTAGGTCGAGACGTTGTTTGACATTGGTCTGTTTGCTAACCCTCGAAGACATACATACTGTACACAAAGTAATACCTATGCAACAGTATGAATTTCAATGCAGTGCGTCAATTCATAAATATACACCAGGTAGCATCTTAATTATATCTTACCTTTTCTGTGTGTCCTTTAAATTACCTTTCACTGTGTGTTTCAAAGTATTTCTGAGTTTAGGCCTGCATCAGTGAACCAGCCCCATTCTCTCTCTCCTTTCCTCCCTACCACAATGGCCTTGTTCTCTCTGTCACACCTTCTTAAGTTATGTAGGAACCAGTCAAACAAGTCTGTCCTCCCTCGTTCTCAGCTGGTCACTCTCTCCACTCCACCTCTCTCTCTCTCTCTCTCTCTCTCTCTCGTTCTCCTATGGGGATAGCCGAAGAACCCTTTAAAGTTCTAGATAGCGCCTTTTTTTCTAAGGGCATAAACACCATAAGTCAGTCATGGCCGTGGGACACTTCTACTTCATTTAAAGGATCTATTATCTTTTAAATATCTCTCTGTCCCCCTCTCTCGCTCTCTGTCTCTCACTCTCTGTCTCTCGCTCTCTCTCCACCATGAAGGACAATAATGATCACAGTACCTGAGGGCCTCTGGGCACTTCTTGGACCTCGATAAGTAACCTGACACTGCCCTTGTGATGTCATCACGAATTTGCTGTGCCTGCGAACACAACCAACAATAAAAGACATCACTGTTGTCCGGTTGAACCTGAACTACAGTGGCAGTTCATTTCCATTCAGAATGCATACCATATCAGTTTATCACATATAGTTTAAGAACGCATGTTATACAGACGATCTTATAAAAAATAATAAAATATCTGACTTGATTTTCCCTTTTAACAATCCCTACAAAAATGTCCATGAATTATAATCCACATAATAATTCACATTTCCTGTTGCTGCAAGATTATTTTCCTGCTGTAGCAAACTGGCTCAAATTAAGATCCTACATCTGTAACTAGGGTCAGGAGTTTTTCCTGGTCTGATCTCCCAGGAGTTTTCTGAAGCATCATACATTTTTTTATGGGTGTTTAGACAAATCCTTAAAACACCTATACAGATGCACTCACCCTTACAGTCTCACAGTTGAAGAAGAGAACGTCAGGCTTTTTCTGAGATGCGCTTTGGCAAACAAGTAAAAGAAGGGATGGGAATCGTTTCTCAGTGAGGATGGCGTCACAGCGATGGATAGCTGAAACTGGATATTTCTCCAACTCATCCTGCGTGAATACAATACATTCAACATTTCAAATGACTGGAACTGCAACGCCTCTCATATAACCATAGCTAATGTCAATTAGAAAATAAGGTCTGAAGACTAAAGTGCTTTTAAATCAGTAGCATCATGAAGGTCATATGTACAACATTAACCAAAATGTAACTTGTCTTTGTTAATAAATAAGGCATTGTCCTACTGTTCACGCGCCTCATATAAAGCAACTTTTTTATTGTGACCCCCCATGTTGGAGTCCTCTGTTCCTTTGTCCACAGTCCCTACATAAATATTATGCCACCTGTATTGGTAGGGAGATGTGCAAAGTATTATGGGTACTGTAGTACATCATCCTGCACAGCCCACCTGGCTCTGTGTGTCTCTGAGTCGGAGGGCCTCAGGGCTGACCTCCAGAACCATCTGCTGGCTCCACAGCTTCTCCGACCGGGCCAGGAGGGACAGCCGAGACTGGGCCTCATCCACAGTCTTCACCTCCCCATCCTGCAGGGAGAACGTCACCAGGTGCTGCACAGGGAAGTGGAATAAAGAAAGAAGACTGGGATGAGATGGAGAGATAGACTTTGGGTGCGTTCCCAAGGGAACACGTAGAAAGCATGGTACGTCATCTTCATAGGTCTGTATGTTAATTATATGGTTATAACACTTAAAGTTCTGATATGATACAATTGAAATAATATTAAAAACACTTACATTGATAAGATATTGTGAGACGTCTGTCATCATGTGACTGTTACTTGATAGCTGTCTGGGTTTTCCTGGAGGCAGAGTAGGCCGATTTGAGGAAAACTCTTACTTGGTAAAGGTGAAGATCATTGTAAGAATGATGACACTACAGAGCCTCTCATTCATAAATGATTTAGAACTGTGTTACAGAGGGTGTAGTCAAAATAACTTTGTTGTATGATGGGTGTAGTTCCTTTGGTATTGTCAGTCATCAATGAGTCTTAGAATCCAACTGCTTTGATTTGAGCAATTTATTGTCCTGAGCGTACTGTCCTCTCACCATAGATGATGCCACCTGGATGACCCAAGAGGAAACTGAACATCCTCACCTAGAGATCCTCCCTGTGTCAGTCTCGAACTGTCCCTCACTCACTAACCTGTGACTTACCCACCCAACCAGTTTGACCACAGTACTGTAGTGCCACATGTTATATCTCAGTCATTGATCTGCCTGATAACCCCAATCACATTCCGGAAAAGTCTAGGTTTCACTTCAGACCAACTTCCCTTCCAAGTAACTCACATGCATAGAATCCATTCATACTTGATGACTGGGTTTAGGATCCGTAAAAATCTTACAGTAGGTGCCATGATGTACAGATCCCACATATTGTCAAGAACATTTCTGAACTCAATCATACCACTAGAGTGAAATTTCATACAATCTTTACGTAGCTACCAGAGCAACTTATTTCCATCTCATCAATGTTGGGGTTCATCTTATTGTGAGAGTGCATGACAATGCTTCCGAAGAGAGAATACATTAATTTGTTTTACAGCATAATGATCGTTGTATTGAATCTGTGAATGCATGCTATGTGCGTTCTAATCACTTACCTCCAATCCTTGACCTGAAATCCACTGGTTCCCAAACAAAAGGTAATCAAACAAAATCAGGAAAAAGATAGCATTCTCTGATTTAGCCTTCTATTAGATTTGTCTTATTTTAGTCAATCAAAAAGTCCAAAATATTTATACCAAAGTTGAGAAATGTGTCTCATTCAGTGTTGCAGCAGCTTTCGTATTCCTGTTCCTCCTCTCTCTGTCACTCTCAGTATTTGACAGTAAGGCAAGGATTTCCAGTGGTGCATCACCTACCCAGCCCAGCCCAGCCCAGCCCACCTTAGAGATAAAAACATTTACATAAACACACATACGTCAAAGGAATGGTATTTATGGCTAGGTACGTTTAAGGTGGGCCTTTTTGGATACTCAACAAAGGGAGGGAGCTCCTTTTTTATGTGAGAGGTAAACCTCTTTACTGGAGTTTCAGGTAACAGAATATTGAGGACCCTTACAGAAAAACCACATGAATTCCACATGTGCCACATGTGCACACATGTGAAGATGTGATCTCATGTGATCTTGTGTGATTTTATGTTCCCCCCCAAAATAAAAATAAATCACGTCTTCACATGTGTGCCCATGTGAAATTCATGTGATTTTTCCATAAGGGTACTGCAGTGGGCACTGTACCTTTTTTGTTGTAGTGTTTTTCTTTTGCGTAGTAACACAACATATTGTTATTTTATGGGCATTTTTTGGAACACGTTTGTTAAATTTCACGTGAAATCATGTGCAAGTGAAATTTCACATGTGAAATCATGTGCAAACGTGTCTTTGGAATGCTTCACCTGAGATATTGTGGGAATTCGATTATCTGGCCCGGGTTGCCCCAGTGGGAGGAGTTTGAACTGGGTGAATAGTGATTGCATTTGTTTTGGGACCAGGCTGTCTACTGGGCGTGAGCCCGGTGCCCCGTTCAAAGCCCAAGGCAAGAGTCGGCTCCAAACAAAACACCATGCTGCCTTGTTGACATGACCTAAGGGGCAGATTACTGTTCATTTGACAAAGGGCGCTCCTCCCTCACCGCTTTTGCCCAATCACGTCACAGGCAGGTTATTAGAACTCCCTCTGTTTTCACGTGCTCACATGTTGTCACGTTTAGTTTTATGTTATCACATGTTGCTTTATATGTTGTCACATGTTATCACATTCACTTCACATGAGATCACATGCCATGTGAAACACGTGATCACGTTAAATTCCTGTGTTTTTTTCTGTAAGGGTGAGGACCATGTTAGGATTTTTGTAAGATTATCAAGACATTTGTTTTACCAGTCATCAGGACATCACGTGATGGTCCCAGATTGTCCCAAACACAGGAGGTTGGGGAGGAAGGGCTTGTGGTAATGGCTGGAGCGGAATCAGTGGAATGGTATCAAATACATAAAACATATGGTTTCCATGTGTTTATGCCATTCCCTTTGTGCCGTTCCAGGCCATTATTATGAGCCGTTCTCCCCTCAGCAGCCTCTACTGGTCCCAAACCATGCCAAACCTTTGTAGGTGAGTGTGGTCCTCCGTAGCTCAATTGGTAGAGCATGGCGCTTGTAACGCCAGGGTAGTGGGTTCGATCCCCGGGACCACCCATACGTAAAAATGTATGCATGCATGACTGTAAGTCGCTTTGGATAAAAGTGTCTGTTAAAAGGCATATTACTGTTATAGGTAAAGTAATGGCAGTTACGTGGTTCAGCTGAAATATGACCCCACATCCTCACCTGGGATTTGAACTCACAACATCTGTGTTTGAAGTGTGCTGATCTTTCTGTTGTACCACATTCATTACCTATAATACATCTCTGCACTTAGTGTGTCATCTGCACTGCTATTTTAGCTATTAGTTAATTTGACTTTTCTCACATCATTGATTTCATTTACTTATTTCAGCAATTTGGTGGTTTTCTGTATAGTTTTGTAATGTTGGTGGGGCATATTATTTTGTTCCAATGTTACTCCTGAATCACTATGATATATATAATAGTTTTTCATGAATGTATTTTTAACAAAGCTGAGATTTACTTTGAAGTCCAAAGTGTAGAAATACATGCGAAATCAGCCATTGACATAGAGGTTATGGCATAGCAGAAAGAATGCTGTGAACCAAGAGGTTGTCAGTTCAAATCCCAGGTGGGAAAGGGCAGTGCGGAGTGCAATAGAGATCGTATCATCTGTGGCTCTGTTGGGGTGGTATGCAAATTGGAGTGGGTCTAGGGTTTAAGGGATAATGGTGTTGTTGTGAGCCATGACCAGCCTTTCAAAGCAATTCATGGCTACAGATGTGAGTGCTACGGGTCGGTAGTCATTTAGGCAGGTTATCTTAGTGTTCTCGGGCACAGGGACTATGGTGGTCTGCTTGAAACATGTTGGTATTACAGACTCAGTCAGGGACATGTTGAAAATGTCAGTGAAGACACTTGCCAGTTGGTCAGCGCATGCTCGGAGTGTCCTGGTAATCTGTCTGGCCCTGGATGTTTTTCAGAGGCAGGGACTGTGAGACTAGTCAGGTTCGAGGGAAAGATGAACGGAGCAAAGTACAGCGAAATCCTTGATGAAAACCTGCTCCAGAGTGCTGAGGACCTCAGACTGGGGCGAAGGTTCACCTTCCAACAGGACAACGACCCTAAGCACACAGCTAACGCAGGAGTGGCTTCGGGACAAGTCTCTGAATGTCCTTGAGTGGCCCAGCCAGAGCCCCCACTTGAACCCGATTGAACATCTCCAGAGAGACCTGCAAATAGCTGTGCAGCGACGCTCCCCATCAAACCTGACAGAGCTTGAGAGGATCTGCAGAGAATAATGGGAGATCTCCCCAAATACAGGTGTGACAAAGTGAAAATGTAGAGTTTCCATCAACCTCGCTCGCACTGCGTGCAATGTAGATATCAAAGAACACCGCAGTTCATGGGCAGAGTAGTGGGTGAAACCATTCACTTCAGAAAAAGGTGTGATATAAATAAAGTTTCCTTTCATTATGTGTTGTCGAATTCATAAAATATTTGCTGCCATTGTAGGAAGGTTGGCAATACGAGAGGTCTTCAGACTTTGTACCATTTTTGTATTATTTTCCTTGAAAGAACAACTAGTGGGTTTTGAGTGCTTCTCCCCTATTTGGAAAGTTGGTCTGCCTGCTGTTGAGTCTGAGAGAGATATTCTGAGAGTAGGTTCGTGTCTCCTTCCTCTGTACATGAAAAACTGTTTAAAACTGTATAAGACAATAGTGTCTTTGGAAAACTGGTTCATAAATCCCAAAGTCAATAGCGAATTTGACTATGTATATATTTATGCTGCCTTTAATGTATTTAAAGCCTATTTCGGCAAGTTAACCCAAGTTTTTGCTGGTTTATCTAGCCATGTTAATGAAGAGCTATCTAGCACCGTCAGTCAGTGCACTATAATGTCATGCTAGGTATTGCTAGCAGGTGATTGATTGAAATATTAAGTTAATGTTTATTTTCTTACTACTTTTAAAAGGTTTATATAAAAAGGGTTGTACTTGTGCTCTGTATTTATGGATTGATGTCACTTCACATTGAGGGCATGTATTATTACTGTTGCTCCTATCTAACCAGTGAACGTCCTGTCAATGCCTGTCATCACTGTTTGATATTTTTTACGGCAGGTATGCTTTACTGTGTTTTTGTTATTTTCTAAACACATTTTAGTCGTTTAGCAGACGCTCTTATCCAGAGTGACTTACACTTAGTGCATACATTTTCATACTGGCCCACGTGGGAAACGAACCCACAACCCTGGCGTTGCAAGCGCCATGCTCTACCAACTGAGCTACAGGGGACTATAAACATGGTTTCTCCTATCATTGCTACGCAGATGACACACAATTAATTTTCTCCTTTCCCCTTCTGATAACCAGGTGGCGAATCGCATCTCTGCATGTCTGGCAGACATATCAGTGTGGATGTCGGATCACCACCTCAAGCTGAACCTCGGCAAGACGGAGCTGCTCTTCCTCCCAGGGAAGGACTGCCCGCTCCATGATCTCGCCTTCATGGTTGACAACTCCATTGTGTCCTCCTCCCAGAGTGCAAAGAACCTTGGCGTGACCCTGGACAACACCCTGTCGTTCTCCGCTAACATCAAAGCGGTGACCCGATCCTGCAGGTTCATGCTCTACAACATTCGCAGAGTACAACCCTACCTTACACAGAAAGCGGCACAGGTCCTAATCCAGGCACTTGTCATCTCCCGTCTGGGTTACTGCAACTCGCTGTTGGCTGGGCTCCCTGCCTGTGCCATTAAACCCCTACAACTTACCCAGAACGCTGCAGCCCGTCTGGTGTTCAACCTTCCCAAGTTATCTCATGTCACCCCGCTCCTCCGCACACTCCACTGGCTTCCAGTTGAGGCTTGCATCTACTACAAGACCATGGTGCTTGCCTACGGAGCTGTGAGGGGAACGGCACCTCCTTACCTTCAGGCTCTGATCAGACCCTACACCCAAACGAGGGCACTACATTCATCCACCTCTGGCCTGCTAGCCCCACTACCTCTACAGAAGCACAGTTCCCTCTCAGCCCAGTCAAAGCTATTCGCTGCTCTGGCACCCCAATGGTGGAACAAGCTCCCCCACGACGCCAGGACAGCGGAGTCACTGACCACCTTCCGGAGACACTTGAAACCCTACCTCTTTAAGGAATACCTGGAATAGTATAAAGTAATCCTTCTTCCCCCACCCCACATTAAAAAAAAAAAAAAAGTGGTTGTCCCACTGGCTATCATAAGTTGAATGCACCAATTTGTAAGTCGCTCTGGATAAGAGCGTCTGCTAAATGATGTAAATGTAAAATAAACACAACGCATTTATACTATATGATCACTTTGTGCATTTAGTCTGAGAGAGATATTCTGAGAGCAGTGAACCTGTGGCTGTGACCGTCCTGTCAATACCTGTCATCACTGTTTGATATCTTTTACTGGGATAAAAACCAAGTCAACCTGAAGTGTGGGTGTCTGTGTGCCTTTCTTCTGGGTGGCAATATGAAGTTGGTTCCACTTGTAGTGTCATACCCAACAGACTCGAGGCTGTAATCGCTGCCAAAATGTGCTTCAACAAAGTACTGAGTAAAGGGTCTGAATACTTATGTAAATCTGATGTTTCCGTATTTTTTATTTTTTTTGCAAACATATTTTAAAAACCTGTTTTTGCTTTGTCATTATGGGGTATTGTGTGTAGATTGATAAGGGG